AAAAAAAAAAAAAAAGAAGAAGAAATTTATAGAGATGTTGTCTTTAGGCTGGCTAAAATAGACGGTAAGAAGGCATGTCCACGGAATGGAAAGTAACAGATTTCTTAAATACATGAACTATGGTTTCTTTGTCTAATTGGAATGTAACGCCCAAGTAATCCAGAAGTTACATCTACTTAATGGGATGCATTTTGTGATTCATTTACGCACATTGCCACCTCTGTGTGGCTGAGATTAGCATTGTGCTTACTTTGCATTTTTGATCATATACTAACTCCTAGTCAATGTGTAGGAGCAACCTAGAGGGATGTAGCCATCAGAGACTGAGATGCAGCCACACATGGAGACAGCAGAGAGTCAGCTGGCAGAGTTGTAAACTTACTGTGAAGACACGCATGAGGTTAAGCCACTAACTGTGCTTGGCTCATTTCTTTGTTACCCAAAGGATCTCATCCTTAAAGCCTGAGTTAAAATGCTCCCTTCCATTATGAAGACTTCTGACACTCAGGAAACAGAATTTTTCCTTCTATTGCACTCACAATCTCTGTCAAAGCAGTCATCTTATTGGGTTATAATCATGTGTTTGCATGTTATTTTCTGAGTGGAGGAAGAGGAGACATCATTTTCTTTCGTCATCATATGCCCCTCATTTTTTTTTCATCTATTACCTCATCAGACTTGGACAATTATTTTATTGGATGAATGCACCAAAAGTTATTTAAAAACCAGCCATTGAAAGCCTCTTGAAATAAGTAATGAGATGGTCAAACAGCTGTTTTAAGTTCCATGAATATTGATAAATACATGGCAGGAATAAAGATTTAGGAGAAAGAAAATAAGAAGATGTATTTCAGGGCACTTAGGTCTTGTAGACCATTTGTAGAGATCATCCTAAATTTTCAGTTTAAGATGTCTTCATCTTCTAAGACTTTGTAAGCTGGAGGAGTGCCAAGAGAGTCTTTTATGACTGAGCTTAAAACCAGTGGAAAATAGGATTCATGAATTCTGAGTTGGCGGGTGGTAGTTATATTGCTCCTCTCAAGGATTACAGTCCTTAAAATGTTTATATGTAGTTAGCATTAAATTTCTGCTTTCTCCTGGACAAAGAAATGACCACATCCTGGGACAATATGCTTAGTGATGAGGAAGGAGTTAGGATGGAAATGACATGTTAAGGGACCAGATCTTGCCGAGGATCAAAGGCTAATGTCCAGCATGTTCTCGGTCCACAGGGAAGGGGCGCTCCTTCAGGCCACTGCTAACCCATTTAGGAAATTATTGTTTCCGTTCTGAGTTATTTTTAATTTGTGCCTCCTTTTCTTTAATGCTTTTACCACTTAAACTCTTACCAGGTTGAAAGTGGCCTAATTATATTAGAAATATCCAGGACCTTTGAAAAGTGCACTTTCTTCAGTGGAGCCACATCTGCCATCGCCACAGATCTGACATAATTCACTTGCATCCTGAATTCTGTCTTAATCAGTTAATCAGCTTTCCAGGATTTCCCTTCTGAGGGATTCATCTTTCATCTTAGTGTGCTGTGAACATTGAACAGGTAGAAAGGAAGCCTTCCTTTGCCAAGGATAATTCTACTGTTTTTGATAGGTGGTACGTACATTTACAGCTAATCAATAAAATAGCTTGTAGCAGAAAGGACTAGGAAACGTGAGCTGTGCTTTCACAATTTAGAAGTAGTCATACTTTCTTTAGAAACGTCTTTTTTCCTCCTTTAAAATCAACGGCTAGTATGTTCTGAAGTCTACCCCCAAGTTTTTCAAGGCAGGAGGGAGATTTAGAAGAAATAAACTCAAGGGATGCATTCAAATGGCTGCCAAGATGCAGGAACCCTACTCTAATAAAGACTTCCAGAGCCCTTTCGTGGTGAACTTTCTTCAGCTGGAGTTGTCCAGGTGCAACCTTAGCATATTTTAGCCCAAAAGGAGGAGCTCTGTTCACTCTTTGTCCCTAACCTGCTTTGGTCTGGCAGTGAGCGTTTGGCAGATGTAGAGAGTTTGACGGGCACCCTCAGCAGCCGAAGCCCATGAAGGTGCTCTTGCTTCTGGGCAACCTCTTTGTTACTCAGCTCAGAACCCGTGGAGCCCAGCGCTTGAACCATTCCTGTGCTCCCTGGAGTGTAGGCTGAATCCCTTTGTGTACTGATCATGCGTGTTCCCCCTTTGTCACAGGAGGACTATGCCCAGGGTCCAACGATCCTTGTGTGGAGAAGCCGTGTCCAGGGGACATGCAGTGTGTCGGTTATGAAGCCAGCAGGAGCGAAGCCAGCAGGAGGCCGTTCCTCTGCCAGTGTCCACCAGGGAAGCTCGGAGAGTGCTCAGGTGCAGAATGGGGCAGAATAAGGAGCGTCTGGTTTCATATTTCTGGAACAATAGCCCTTGAGTAAATTACGCTGTCCAAACCATTGCAGAAGACATTTATGCAACATTTTCGTTCAGCATGGATGATAGCTAAAATCCACCTTCACATTTACTTGGGATTTATCACAGCCACAGTCTGTGCTAAAGGAACAAGTAAAGACCTGGATTCCTTGTGTAATGGAGAGACCACAACATGTATTCTCAATCATGTCACGTGGCTGTTAAGGGTGTGAAATTATGGAAAATAGAAGGTGGTTGGTTGGGCAGAGGAGTCAGAATATCTGTGGCATGGCCTTTGATGTTCAGAGGGCTGCACAAATCCATAGCCACCAAACAGATTGACAGAAGGTAGGGCTGAGCCAATCCTGTTGACCTTCCATAGAGTGAATGCAACGTAGAGTACCCAGTAAGCTAACTCTCCACTGGAAGTGTATAATTAATTAACTTCATGTTCCAGAAAGGAGAGGTGCTCATCTCTGTTTTGTATAAAGGAAGAAAAAAAATCAGTATTTACATTATTTTAATTCAAATGATCCTGTGTTTCTGACCCTCGCTCAATTTCAATACTTCATTTGATTCACGTGTTCTCTACCACGTCCTTCTAAAAAGAGTATTGTTCATTTTGGGTACCAATAGAATCCTCTTTTTATTATAGGATGTATTTAAAATACAGGCACACTGATACCCATTTTTGAATCTGAGAAATATTTATTGAGTGATGGTAATAATAGGAATAAAAAATAATTATGCCTACGATATGCAAGGCACTTTGCTAATAAGCATTGGGTTCTAAAAATGCAGACTTTGCAAAGAGAGAAGCATTTTGGAAGCAAAATGGAAGCTAAAGTTCTTTTATAGTTGATTCAAGAATGGAGCTGCCCACGAAGCAAAGGAACCATGAGGATGCTTACCTAAGTCCCCTAAGGTTTAGACTTAAAAGAAAATTATGCTGCCTCCACCCCAACACACACACCATGCACACAGGATGTGGATGTGTAGAGTGAGCATAAAGCCAACTCTCCTAAAGTCTGGTGTCACTTCCTGCCGATCTCCCTTCTCCTTTCTATGCAGAAAACTTTTGATTGACCATGATTATCGTCCATTTGGTATATTTTTACACTTCCCACCTTTCACCCCAGTGAACAGCTTTTCAGCAGTTTCTTTGCTTGTTAAAACATAAAACTGGAGGCAATAAAAGAAAGATCATGAACTCAGAATTGGGAAATGTGGGTTGGACTAAAGATCCTGGGAAGGGAAGCCTTGAAATTGATGGTCTGAGAGTGCAATTGTGATTGCACACAAATTTCCTTTAAATCAGTTACCTTTTTTCAACATTAGTGCAAGTGACATAAGTTGGCTATTTGGTGTTAGAATACCTGGGGAATATGGGGCCGGCCAGGTGGCGCACTGCTACAGTGCGCTGCTTGGGAGTGCGGTGGCGCTCCCGCCGAGGGTTTGGATCCCACATACAGACCGGCCGCTCACTGGCTGAGCGAGGTGCGGGAGCAACACCGAGGGTTGTGATCCCGTTGCTGGTCCCGGTCTGGTACGGGCGCAACACTGAGGGTTGCCATCCGTTGCCGGTCACAAAAAAAAAAAAGACAAAAAAAGGAAAAAAAAAAAGAATACCTGGGGAATATGGATGTTATTTGAAAATAGTTTGGTTGTCTTTCCTTTGTTTTATAGAATTGAAAATTGAGTGCCTAAGTGATGGGAGTGGGGAGGAGGCATGAAGAGGTATCTTTTAATAATGCTTGTTTTAGAAAGTGGGTTTGGGAATTTAGTTACACTAAGAAAGTCTAGATTATGGAATTTACTAAATTGCCCTTAGCATGAGATAACTCAGATTTTTTGGTAGCAGAATGGTTAATAATTTTTTCACTTTGAAATTAGAGTGTGTTGTGAAATGGAGAACCAGGTTTTAATCAAAAATGGTTTCTCCTCAATACTTTCATTAACTTCCCATGGTCTTTAATCAACTTGCTTGGTGATTGTTGCGTGATCTCATGTGTCCCTGCTTGTTTATGGACGTTAAAAGTATGTACATCTTCTCGTAATGGTCTTTTCAGGACACACTTCTCTCAGCTTTGCTGGAAACAGTTACATCAAATACCGGCTTTCTGAAAATAGCAAAGAAGAGGACTTTAAGCTAGCTCTGCGTCTGCGAACCCTGCAAAGCAACGGGATTATAATGTACACCAGAGCAAATCCCTGCATAATTCTGAAGGTAATTAAAATGGGTTATCTATTCCTGCAGTCACTACTAATGTTAGTATTTTGGCTTTTGGATCAGGGATTGCTGAAATCATTTTGTCTTTTAGGTTCAGAAAACCAGAAGCAGACTTTAGGGCAAGGGGGAGAAGCAGCAGAACTGGGAAGTGTGCCAACATCCTATTTCCTTTTGAATATTTAGCTTCAAAACTGGCTCTTGGAGGATGGGGCATCTCCCTCTCGAGTGGAATCAAGGGCTGGCCTCCTTTTAGCCCACTCAATAGTTCACTCAATAGTTCATTAGAACATATCTCCTAATCTATTCCACAACAGGGGTGGTCCTTGGAAAGGACTGGCTGTGTCCTCTTCCACCACATGGGTCTACCCCCACTGACCTCTGAAGGCAGCTTGTGTTCTTGCGCAGGGAGGAAGTTGAAGATCTGGGGTATGGAAGATTCCATATGTCCTATCATGACCCAAGTAGCCTGATTTTTAAATCTTTTCCCAGCCTCAGAAACCCTCCTGAAGCAGCTGGATTTCCTTTAGAGCAAGTCTGGTATTTGTATTCAGCTCAGGGATTCTGGTGCCTTCATGAGAACAACAAAAACAATAATAGTAACAGCTTTATGTGCATCATTAGTTTTTATTGTAAAGTTGATATAATAAATTTGTCATATACAGGTATTATCATCCCTGTTTGACCAAGAAGAGGATAGAGGTTCAGAGAGGTTAAGTTACTTACCTAAGATTGCACAGCTAGTAAGTGACATGACCTGGACCCACATTCCAGTCTCTCTCATTCCATGCTCTTAATCTCTGTGCTGTCCACAGCTCTCCATCTTGCCACTACAGCTCATTTTATCAAAAATCATGTTCTGGGCATCTGTAGACCAGACTCAGCCTTCTAGGATGGGGAAGAGAAGGAAGGGGAAGGAGGGAGACATGTTTCAGCTAATACTATTCTCATCAGGTTGCTGTACCAGCCCATTTTAAGTGCTCTTCAGAAATATTCAAAGTCTGTCCAGTAGAAAATGTCCGTCCAAGTGGAAATGGCTAGAAATCTTTTTCTTTCCAAGGTTCAGGCTCCACTAGGACTATGGTGGGCCTTTCTAGCTTCTGTCCTTTGACTGTTTGATATGTCAGATCCAAGTTCATTAGGTGACCCAGGCTTTAATCCTGAAGGTAGATGAGGAAAGAGAGGAATATGGGGCACATTAAATGCCAGTGGCTAATTTTAACCATCACAGACTTTTACTTACCCATTTCTGGTATTGCCAGGTATTACTTCATGGCCAGAATAAGTGAGCAGGGGGTTTTAGTTTAAGAGTTGACTTCTTTTGTGGCAAATCTCTCACTATCCTTATTCATTCAACTGAGAGAATAATTTCAGCTCTGGAAAGGAAAGCCACATTTCTAAACCAAAATGAGAGAAGCACTCTGAATGCACAGTTTTAGAGAACAATGAATTCAAATCAGATATTCATGGTGGAAGAAGAAAAATTCAAAAACCCAAGTCCTGTCTTTATTCCGTCCTAGCCCCTGAGGCAGCCTGCCTTGGTTAGTAGATCATTTTCTAAATAGTCCCTAGTGGTGGGGTTTTTATAATTGCTGAAAAGTTCTCTGCCCATTTAGAGCTATAGCTCGTAGGAGCTCTGCTTGGGTCTCACCGACCTTCCTCTCTCCTCCTTCAAGCTCTAACAGGGCTGCTGGTTGCAGAACATCCTTATGAGGCAAATACTTTCTCTTAGCAAATATCCTATAGAGCATTAAATTTGAGAGAGAACAAAAATATTGGGCCTGAATGGCTTGATCATAAAATGGAGCTTGTCATTTGACACTTCACTGGCAAATATCTAAAATGTGCAGATCCCTGGGGATGGGAAGGAAGAATAATTAAACCTTTTACGCAGCTCTGGCTCCTAAGGTATATTGTATTTCATGAACAAGCATGGTTCTGAAAGTTGTGTAAGTTGAATCTCTGTAAATGGAATAATAATAAATTAGAGACTGTTGCTATTTGAAGGAACCCTTCCATTAATCCCTTTGTGATGTGAATAATTACCTCCGATCTGTCTGTTCTCTAAGTTTGCTTTTCATATGTTGGGTTTGCCCAAAGCAGGACACAGCTGTACTGAACTACTGCAGATATTCTACGATGGTCGCCAGGAATATCCACTTAGGGGATTTGAATCTGTTTGCTTAACATTTTCAGCCTCATGCAAGATTTAATTTCATTGGCTTTAGGTACAGTATGTGCCTTGTACTTTGGTTCAACGACTAAGCTGAAATGCTTTGTTTAAATTGCCCCTCTTGGTTGTTTATATTTTCCTAGTCAGAGCACATTCTCTTAAAAAGTACTTAAGATAATCAGAGGGGTGAAGGGCACCCCTTGAAGACAGTTAAAGAACTGCAAGGAGACCTCAGGAAGTGAAAATACGTATGGACAGGGAGTACTGCTGTCTCGCAGCAGCAATAAAGTCATTCATTCTTCTGTCTACCATTGATACCCCTTCTTCTTCCAAAAGAGATTCGAGGCTTATCATAAACATTTACAATAAATTCAAAGCATCAGTAAGCTGAAAACAAAAGATTAAAAGCTAACCAATGAAGTGAGGAAGGGTAGGATATCATTACTGAAAAATCTAGACTAAGGAGAACTACTTCAGTTGAGCACAAACCATAACTCTGAGTTTCCTGGCAGCCAAAGCAACAATGAAAACAGGGGGTGAGAGTCTGTGACTCTTCTCACATCTATAAAAGAAACATGCCAAATCAACCAAAGAGTTGTGAGGAGAAATCATCAAGAAAGCAAACTTTTTCTCTATGTCAATCTTTCAGCTCCAATATTATGGCAAAAGCAAAAGGTGATCTTGGTTGCTAATCTGGAAATATCACATGTTTTATCTTTTGGGAAAGTTATGAATGATACTTTGTTTCATTTTGATGATTCTCAGACATGGCTAGCTTGCAAACCTAGGACTAAAAGGAAGACAGGGAAAGCTCATTTAGCTTGTAAAACAGCCCTCTTGGAATGGCCAGATCATTCTCACATAGATCAAAAGAATAACGGGAAGCTCCTTGCAAGATTCAAGAGTTTCAAGGATATACGAGTATGTAAGAGTATCACTGAGAAGTGAGTTAACTTATAATAATTACACTTTATAATAATAATAAAATACATAAGAGTTTACGAAGTACTTTTACATACATATATTTTTGATTTTCAGCCCCCCTTACATGTAGGTATGAGTGTCTACTTTTTGCCTGTGAGGAAACTGAGGCACAGAGAGATTCGATGACTTGCTCAAAGAGACAGTCAGTCAGTATTGGGTCTGGGCCTGGGACAGAAGTAAGCGGGTTGATAGCACTACAGGAGTATGTGAAAAGAAGAGATTCAGAGGGCTGGAATGATCATTTGCCTATTTATTCATTCAAAACATATTTTTTGAGTACTTACAGTGTTCCAGATAGCTATTAATAGCAGCCTCGAAAGTAGACTTTTTAAAAGTCCCCTTCTCAAAGATTATTTAATACCCTCTTACAAGTTCCGTGATTATGGTGCATTTGCTAGATCCACCCACCGAGGATCTGAAGCAGTAAGATTCCTTGCCATAATTTACACTTGTTACTCAAAATCCAACTTTCCAACAAAATGACTTCTTATAGCTCTGATTCTTGTCTCCCAAGCCGCAAGCCAGTGAAGATCTGGGTTTAAAGTACATCACTGATTTCAAACAACCTTAAAGATGTAAATATTTTCTAACATTAAGGTGACACTCTCTGATTTATGCATTTCATTGAGCAAATTACTAGCCGCCCCCACCCCCAGCATATTATTTCAGTGTCATGGCTATAGACTTTTCTGTTTCATGCACACCTCAGTTCCCATTAAAATAGCTTGCCCTCTGGTTTAAGAGCTTCATCCCCTTAAAAGAGATCTTTTAAAACCAGGTAAACCATATTCTGAAGACAAGAAAAAGTAAATACGATCAGAGTATATTTTTCCAGTATAAGAGGACTTAGATATAAAAAGAACAAAGTGTTATTTTCTCTTCCAGGCATAATATACCTGTGAAAGAGCAAAAGATTATTAACTTTTCACAAGGTGAATTCTAGCAACAGCATTCTAACTTGTCCTATAAACAAGACTGATAATTCCAAACTCCTAGAATTTTGGAGATCCAGATGATTTTTGTTTTTAAAAGGATAAGAATCATGTAGGCCTATGGCTTCTTCATTCAGCAATGTTGCTGCTATATTTTTTTTTAACCATGCTCAGTATTACTATGGGATAATTTTACATTCCTTAGTTATAGAACTTCTATGTGTGTGAGTTCATCAGAGTTGAGTCAGTTCTCCTGGGTGAAAGTGTAACTTAGTGACTATTCAAAGAGGTAGGGGTGAGGGAGGGGAATGAACCACATAATATATTAATTAACTACCTTTTTATAAAAACTTAAATGAATTGCACACTCACCACCAGACTTTCCATGATAGACTAGGGACACCATTTTGCAGTCACAGAGCAAAACAGCAGAGGGACTGTGGCAGAAGAAGGTAGTCCCCAAAGTCTATTTGATCATTTTATTACTTGCATTGAAATACAGATATGGATATTATCCAGGAGTGTCACTGAGCACATATTCTGGTATGATTTACAATATCAATTTGATCCATTTTGTTGAACCAAAACAAACAAAAAAAGCAGCAAAGGCAATAGCATAAGATTGCACGTGAAAGCTCCCTGAAAAGAAAATCTGTATTTGTCTTCAGTCTTTTTACACCCATAATTGACGTTACAGAGTGGAGGATGCGTGTACTGTGTATGATGTGGCTAACCATTCCACAGTGGACACAGTATCCTTGTGAAATAAGCCACAGCAGTTCTCTCTTCACTCCAAACCCAAACCCGGAGGTGCCAAGCCATTCTCACCAGGTGACCTGGGTGGTACCTGTCAAAACCTGCATTAGATTTAGCATTCCTAAATCCCCAGGGCTCTGCCTGGTTGACGAAGCCCCCTGCCTTCCATATACATACATTTATGTGCATTTATGTGGCATGGACCTATGAACTTTGCATGCAGGATGAGAGGGTCCTTGGAAACACAGAAGTGAGAGTCCCTAAGAAGTAGTTGTCTGTGGAACATACAGAAGCATAGATAGAAAAATCATCCATTTGTGAGAATGAATGGTGTCATGATAATCCCTAAGAGGTCCACCATGAGTAAAACACATTTCAGAAAGACTGTTTCAGCCTGTTTCTGTGAATTCAATGACATTTATACCTTCTTGGCTGTCAGTGACCTGGAAGGTCTGTGTTGAATTGTCATTTCCTTTCCTTTCCTTTTCTTTTTCTTCTCTCGACAATTGTTTGTTCTCTGCATGGAACTACAGAGGCCGCAGACCTAAATGAAGGCCAGCTCCCCTGCACGTCTCAGACACTGGCCTCCCCAACATCCTCTTGCTGGGTCACAGACATAAGCCAGAAAGGAGCTTTTGTCTCACAATTTCTGGCTGTGAATCTCTTCATGGCCAAATATAAACTTGCTGGCTAGACATGGGTCCTGCCCTCATTCCCTGGATCCTAAAGCCACCTTGCATTTTTGAGAAATGTAGACGAGGGTGGATGATAGAGGATTCAAAGGCCAGCCTGTCTCTTCAGCAACAGGTGAATCAGCTCTCCATGAAGGACCAACCCCTGCTCAGCAGCTCTCTCCAGCCAGCGTCCTTCAGGAGCACAGGCTTTCCTCCTGTGTGTAATGTCCCCCAGGGGTAGGCTCTTGGGGGAACTGGATGCTCTCGCTGTACCAGTGCAATCAAAAAAGCAGGATGGTCTCTGTTGTAGCACCCCAGACCAGGGGCTGGGAGCATCCACATCTGAAGGGCCAGATGTTGTTAAAAACACATAAATCTAAGCAAATGGCCAAGCCCTGAGCACTTTGTAAGGTAACCTTTACCTAAATGATGAGCAGCCTCCTAAGGGACTGTTATAAGAATATGCTAGTATTTAATATTCAGAGGTTTTCAAATCTTAAATGTATATAAAGCCAGGACTAGAAAAGCTGTTATTTCTACCTGGCCTCTTTCTCTCCCCTGTAGCACACTTACGTTAACTTATTGGAGAAGTGTGTGTGTGTGTGTGTGTGTGTGTGTGTGTGATTGTTTGATTTATGGCCATCTTTCCCACCTGGCTGTAAGAGTGTGTGTGTGTGTGTGTGTGTGATTGTTTGATTTATGGCCATCTTTCCCACCTGGCTGTAAGCCACATGAGGGCAGAGATGATAGCCACATGAGGGCAAAGATGATACCTCTTTTTGCTCACCGTGGTCTCCCCAGCACCAAGCACACTGCTAACACATAGTAAATGTTCAATAAATACTGATGAGTTCACAGAAACCATTCCTGTGGTGGCAATGTCTAAGAAGGGTCCAGAGAATAAACAGACCCCTAAACAAGACATTGCTGTGAATTTTAAAAGGATGAAGAAACCAAAGAATAGGAACATTGATAAATATAATTGTGGATGCCTGAAGCTGTGCTCATACTCATATTACTAATTACAAGACGATTTGTGAAATATCAGACACACATTTATACGGCAGATAATGGGGAGAGAAGTAGCTGTTAAAAATCAAACCACAGCAGATTATGCCTGGATCAAAAGCAATGTCCATCTCACAGCCTTCTTGTGACGCCTGGGGGCTGCTGGCTGGGAACAGTGTGTACGGGAACATATTGCCAGATGCATATTAAAAAGTGCTCCGCTGTTCCCTCCCCGCACAGATTGTGGACGGCAAGCTGTGGTTCCAGCTGGACTGCGGCAGCGGCCCTGGAATCTTGGGCATCTCGGGCTGCGCTGTCAACGACGGGAGCTGGCACTCGGTGTTTCTGGAGCTCAATCGCAATTTCACGAGCCTGTCCCTGGACGACAGCTACGTGGAGCGGCGCAGGGCGCCCCTCTACTTCCAGACGCTGGGCACCGACAGCGCCATCTACTTCGGCGCCCTGGTGCAGGCGGATAACATCCGCAGCCTGACAGACACGCGGGTCACGCAGGTGCTCAGCGGCTTCCAGGGCTGCCTGGACTCGGTGGTGCTGAACAACAACGAGCTGCCGCTGCAGAACAAGCGCAGCAGCTTCGCGGAGGTGGTGGGACTGACCGAGCTGAAGCTGGGCTGCGTGCTGTACCCCGACGCGTGCGAGCGCAGCCCGTGCCAGCACGGGGGCAGCTGCGCCAGCCTGCCCTCCGGGGGTAAGTGCCTGCGCGTGGGCACTCCGCCCGGGGGTGAGGAGAAACGCCCCTCATTGGGACCCCGCTCTCACAGTCAGAACCAATCCCAGGGGCCTCCTAGCATCACACTCAAGATGCTCGTGGAGCTTCTTAATCCGCTTTAGGGAAGTCTCAGAGCTCGACGATGCCAGTTTAGCCAATCGTTTGCAGCATCCCACTGGTGCAGTGCGATGGCCCCAGGAGCCCAGAGATGCTATCAACTGCACCCCCTCTCCTATCCACCCTGCACCCTTCCAGACCTCAGCAGCTTGGACAAATAGGACCCCCTTTTAAGTACAGTATGTGCCCTCCTGAGCTACCTGCATGCCACTGCAGCGTGATGGGGAGCAGTCTGAGTTATGACACCTTTGCACATTTAATTGCTGATCAGACGTAGACATATAACTGTACTAGAAGCTAAAGAGGGTGAGCCACCGCAGGAATAGAAATATTTGGAACATAGTTTTGGAATGTGTGCATTAAAAATAAGTCTAGTGACAGCTCTATAAAGGAGTAGAAAGTGAAGAATAAGGGGAGGGAAATTTACATGAAATCTCAGGACAGATAAATAGTCAATTAAGGCATGATGCTTTACTATATTTTCCCTACAGACGTACATCATAAAGAAGAAAGAACAGGGCAGGACAAAGAAAAAAAATGGATTTATAAAGAGTTTCTATTATATGAGGGAAAAGCCAAGATTAAATCCTAGGAGTCTAAAGATAAAAGAAAGGATCCCTGACTTTACCCGGATTCAGAGTCTGTGTTAATGTTAATGTAAACTAGGTCAGGCATTCTCCCGGTTGAAGGCCTGCAACCTTTCAACAGCCCAACCACTGATTTCACTTCAGCCCCTTTGCAGAGTCACTCAGCAGTGGAGTGATTAGCAAATTTAAACCTTCCTCACAAATCACTTAGCGATCTGCTGTGCTCATTACGATCTAATGTTCTTGAAGCCCAACTCCAAATTTAGAGTCCATTTTATTATTAGAATGTTATAAACTGTCCATGAGATGATGCACTGTGGAAATACAGATACCAAAGTTGTTTAGACTTGTGTATGTTACTGCCACAATAAGGGCCAAGTACCCTGGGGGGAAATTTCTGCCGTCTCAATTTAAGAAATCTATTTGCTGTTTTTACTGTCTCAGCAGTATATGTAAATAAAGAGTTGTTATGGTGCCATAATTCCCAAATGATGGGCAGTAACTATACTTCAGTGGTTCTATAAACCAGCCCATTATGACAAGTCATGGCCAGTTTTTCACCAGGCAAAACAATTCTGCTAGTGTGAGCCATCTACAATATATAAAAGGAGCATATAATTAAATTGGGTTGAAATAGAACACCACTCCATGTCAAATGCTGGGTACACAGCCACAAATTATAACATACTTTTAACGATGGCAGGACATTGTTTTTGCTGGCAAAGCTATGGGCAACAACAGTGGGTTATCTTTAAAATAATAATAATATTCACTGTATGAAGGAAAAGACTGGAATCTTGCTCTTTGGTGTACATTTTATTTTAATCTTTTTAAATGACCATGAAATCCTTTAACTGAGTCTTCAGTGCAGTTATATTAATTGACTATGATCCACATGAGAAACAGCAATGTTCTCTATTTTTCAATCTCTTAGTTTAACCAGATTTGAGCACTGAGGACCCACCTGCCATATACTTTTCACATGGCCTAAAGAACTTGCCTTGCCCGCCCTGGGGGCCTGACCTTGCCTATAGAGCACACTCTCTCATATACCTCTCTGGCCCCCTGTTCCCCATTTTCTTTTAGGATTGGGCTTGTGATTGGGATTCCACAACAGGGATGAGACCTTGGTTTCTAAGAAAAGGAAGAAAACCCACTTTCTTGCCCTCATTGTCTGCTCATATCAGAGGAATTTTGCTAGCTTCCTGTATACTATCTACAAATTCTCTAAACTGGTGCCAAACAGAGAAGGGGAAAAAAGCAAGGAAAGAAAGAAACAACAATTTGGCCTCTACTTTATATCTGTGAAACTATGTAGCTAATTATAAGGTTACTTTAAATAAAAGAAAAATCCTTTTAGCTATGAGTGATAATTGAAAAAGAACAATTAGACTGAGTCTTAACGAAAAATATTCATGCCTTCAAGAATTCCTTCTGGCTGCCAGAGAAGTCTAATCACAGGAAGAGAAGGTCTTGGGCCCCTAGATCAAAGGCTGGGATGCATGCAGTATTTAAAGAGGAAATCTGGGCTAGAAGTAGAGTGAGGAACTTAAGATATGACTCCTCTCACACAAGCGTGCTGGTAACAAAAGTTAATTGTTTGGACATCTATTGTTTGGAGCCTGTGCTAGATGTTGCTCTAAAATGCCAGGACACATACTATAGCGTAATTATCCTTTTCACCTCTGAAGAATGCTGGAGTATTTGTCATTGGCTCTCTTGGTGACAGACTCCACTCTCAAACTGTGGCTGTCCTAGCGCATGGTCCCAGAACACTCAGAATCTTTAAAGCAGGCAACCCACAGCAAGAAGCGTTTTCTTTCAGGGATACAGGATTCTGCTCTAACCATCCCCAACCAAACCCAGTCAAATGCTTGGCGTGAAGGGAAGGGAAGCCGCGTCTGCTAGCTTGGAATGACATGGTCAGCAGGTTTGACCAGTGTTATAACTGTGGCTGTCCCACGAGCAAGCCATAGGAACCCCAGGGGAGTCAAAGCCTAAAACGCTGACTTATAATAAGAGTATAAATATGACTCTATAAATCAACCACAGAGGGAAGGCTCTGTCTTTGTAAAGCCCTAAAATTATATGTATTTCATAAACATGAACTGGAAATAGCAACCACTGTGGAGAAGAAATGGCCAGGTCCCATTCAGACCCCTGCATTTCCGTACCCAGTGGGTAGGGAGCAGCCCAGTGAGCACCCACAGTCTGAATAAGGAGTGCTCAGTCCTCCATACTTACCCTGCTCAGTTCATGCCCATTCACGGAAAACATTAACTGAGGCTGAGCTATAATTTGGTGAAGCAATGCACCAAGCCAGGCAGTCAGCAGGCTAGAAATAGCCTCTCAGACAGCTTTACATTAAACTAAAAGCCTAAATCCTGAAATGACAAGTTGAGTAAATGTTTAACTGTTAACAACTACTATTTGTTAGACTCTTACTATATGCTTGGTACTGTGATAAGTGCTAACCTTACAAGTGCTAATACACTAGGACATTTAATTCTAATAATGCTCTGAGATCAGTACTATCCTTCCCTCCCACCTTCCCACCCCCATTTTACAGATTTAAAAAATCGGTCAGAGAACCTAAGTAACTAGCCTAGTATCACACAGCTAGTGAAGTGGTGAAGCCAGGATTTGATCCAGTTTTGTGGAACCCCCCTCCCCCCACCCCCAGAGCATGGCCTCTTAACTCTTGCTACTCAAAGTGTGTTCCTGGGACCAGCCACACTGTTGTCTCTGGAAATGTTAGAAAGGCAGAAACTCAGATGCCACCCCAAACCCACTGAATCAGAATCTGTATTTTAACAAGATCCCTAGGTGATATACTGATTTCTCTTCCTGTCTCTGAACTTCCCTGAAACCTGGGAAAACTTCTAGTTCTTTTTTTTCCCCTCATATTGTATATAGTGTTTCTCAAACTCGGTGATATATCAACATCACTTAAGGACCTTGTTAAAATGAGACCTTGTTATAGAAGTCTCTCAATTCTTAATGAAAAAGGAGAGTCTATTTACTTGCCTCCATCATTTGCCTTCCACATCAGAGGAATATTCTGCTAAGTTAATGAATCATATTTGCACTTTCCTGAGCTTTACTGCCAAGAAAATTTCAGTGAAAGTTCGAGAGGAAAAACGGACTCAAACCTCCAGAATCAGAATCTACAGGGTGGATTGTAACAGGACTCTAAAGTGGTTCTGTGCATATCTGAGATTGAGAACCACCAACACTGGGAATCCCAATAACTGTATTTGCAGGAATGCGAGTCAGTGAATTCCAGGAGAAGTAAACAGACGTAGGACCTTCAAAAATTGAAAGTCACATGCACAGGCTGCATTTTTTCAAAGCTGTTTTGGTATAAAGATGAAGCTTTGTTCCTCAGTCAGGAGTTTTGGGTTACCCTGAGCTCCCTGTTCAAGGATAAAAGTAATGTCTATCCACTTCCTCTAGACAATTGTGAGTGTTCTGCCTATCAGGTTGCATGAAACAAGATCTTGGATGTTGCAAATAGTTGGGTGTAGAAGTGTTTTCAGCAACAAAGTTCCCATCCTATTTTGGGCCAAGTTTTGCTGAGTAGTTTTTGTCCCCAACTTGTAAGGGTCTGGATAAATTCAGTCTATCAAACTGAAGTGCCTCCTTGGTGCCAAGCTCTGTGTTGAATTCTGGGTCCCCTCATTGTCTCTGTGACCAATGTGTGCTACTGGCGTAGCCTCCCTGCGGCCACTCATGGCTAGTTTAAGGGAATTGAACAGTTCCTTGTACAAGGATACCTCGAAAAGTTCATGAAAAAACAGAATTAAAAAATAATATGAATCTTTCCATGAACCTTTTGAAGTATCCTTGTATGTTGCAATTATACTGGCCCAGAGGGCCACAGGGGCACAGAGAAGGCAAAAGCTGGACTCCCGGTGAAAATACTGTGGACATAGTTTGGCTAAGTTTTTCACATTAGGAAAAATAAATGTGTTCTGGGTGACTTTCTTTTAAATACTGAGTTAATCTTTTTTTTGGGGGGGGGTGTGGGGGGGTGTATCTTGGAAAATACTCCTGCTAACAGCATTAATACTTACAGACACTGATAGAAAAACTCCAAACCCTAAAGTAGGTCATGTCCAGACACAAAAGAACATACAAGAAGGTGAGAATATACTGTGCACCTAATGTTGTTAGCACACTAAAGGTTTCCAGATCCTCAAAGAAAATATTAGAAGCTTCGCCCAATATACAATATATGAAATGTGAGCCAGCATTCCTAGGGGAAGTTATAGG